CTGTATGACACTCCCAAGCACTTGAGATAATGATCTTTTGTTGTGCTGAGAAAGGAATGAGAAACAGACTGACAATTGTTGCTGCTTCTTGTCTTCCAACAGTGTATAGTGTATCCACTTGCTCAACTTGTACACCTTCTCAATAAAGTGTAGGTGAAGTCCGACTACTTCATCAGAAACCTGGAAACATTAAGCAAGCTCACCACAGGTTTGGTTGTTGACCTCCATGGCCACCTTCAAGGGCTCATCTTCCAAGACCTGTAGCAGGCTACTGTGGAGTTCATCGCAAAAAGTACAGAACTCTCATACTGAAAGTCTGGAACCAATACCTGGCAGTGTGTTTACTCACAGCTTATCCCAAAAGGCTTGGCATATTCGGCAAATTGATGTGGCTGTGGACAAGCTTACCTAAAAGTCATAAAGTAGACAGCCTTGTAAAAGCTGCTTCAGCACAGCCATGTTTCCTTGCCACTGTTCGAACTATGACTGATATGTGTATAATGCACCTGCATTGGTCAAGAACATTTGCCCCCACCATCCACACCACCACCACTTTCCAGGTATGCAATGCACCCATTTTGAGTATCTTTGATCACTTATTCCCAAATAAGGCAAAAAAAAATAATGGCTATGCCTTTTTTTGGTTACTTTATAATTTCGCATTTGACTTGAATCTAAAGATTATCTTTTTACCTGAAAATAAAGATTATCTTCAGCGCCATTCTCTACTGTGCATGTTTGATGCTTGTGTCTTTTGCTGATCCAAAAGGTTTTAAACAAGCAACAATTTAAAGAATGGCTGCTGCTTCTGTTACTCTTTGTAATAATACTGTCCTTTCCCACCCTCTCTTTAATTGAAAATTCTGAATAAATGCAAGACTAAAAATTGGGATGCACTGGTCTTCTCTAACTTATGACAAGTACTATATCATGTGAGGGATTGAGCATAATGACCTTTTTCTGTTACTTAAGCCAGATTATATGCTCTCTCTCTTAGAAAATGTAACACGTGGCAGTATGAACTACAGGTTGCATATGCAGGTGTTGAAGCAATACAAATATATTTGATCAGCCACCCTAGCAGATTGGTGTACTTGGAAGTAATTACTCATTATATATAATTTTTCTTACTGGTAGCTGGAACCTGAGTTTCATGGTAAAATACAATGTTCAGGTTCTGAATTAAAATGTTAGTCTTAACTCAGCACCTGAATATTGTGTTATGTATGAAACTCTAAGTTGTGCTGCCAGTGAGGAAAAAATTATATTTATTAATATATAGTTTATAGTTCTGTTATATTGCATCAGGCATAATTTTATTAACACCAACACTCAATGTGTGACATTATATATTTATATATAATCAATTTTTTTATCAAAAATATTCATATTCTTTTTGTTGTGATGTCATACATTCTTGTTCTGATTTCAATTGATAAATTTCTTAAACTTGAAGAAGTAAACAAAGCTATTGTTCTTTTACTTTTATTTTTTTTTTTTGTATATAAGTTTGAGATGCGTTATTGTTAACATTCAATCATATTTTTTCTAATTTTGATTCTTTTATCTGTTTTGTTCTTTAGCCTTTCTTTGGTGAATGTGACTATCTTTAAAAAAATGTCTTATTTTGATCAAAACCTAACAGCAGATTTTGAGTCATTCTTCATTAATGTAACTCATTTATAAGTATAATCTTCTCTGACTATTTATCTCTGTGATACTTAATTCCACACTGATCCTAATGAAAGGATTTTTGTTTTAGATAAAAATAACAGATCAATTAATTTTTTAAACTATTTTCATCTTCACTGTTTTTACACTCACAGCATTTTGGCTAATTCAGATTGTGTTCAACTTGAATTTTATTCATTGTTTATACTTAATCAGGATGTGTTACAAAATGTAACAAATACTGTCAATATATCTAAAAAATATCAGATAGTAAATCTGGTTTATCCAGAACAAATTCTGACACTTTTTCCTGAAAAGAACTTAAACAGCTGATTCAAAAATGAAGTGTTAAAAAAAGAAAAGTGATTTTTATATTTTCAATCTACTAAAAGAAAGTTACTAAAACATAATATGGTTTTTTTCCTTATAAATTTAATTTGATTAAAAGTTTTGAAAAAATCATTTTTTTCTTTTACTTTTTTTTTTGTAAAAAAAAAAAAAAATAAATGAAATTTTCACAAAAAATTCAGTGAAACTTGCATATCAAGCAACACATCAGAGGTACATTTTTTTAAAAATAAATCAGAAACTAGCAGAGGTCCCTAGGGTTGCTGGGGATATAATATATAATTGATGGTCATGACGTTTTTGGTACTATTTCTGATTAGTTCACCAGACCATGATGACATTTTATCTATTTTTAAGCAAGGTGAAACTTTAATCTCTGTAATTACATTTGTTTTATCACTACACACCTACCTGCCAGAGTTTGTTTACATCATCCTGCTTGGGTCTGTTTGCACATGTGGCCATTAAATGAATTCTGAATGTTTATCGCAGGTGAGCATTTTATAACTGAACCACTCATGGTAGCAAAAGTGCCAGATTATAAAATTGCTAATAAAAATATGTCAGATTAAAAAATAAACTCAGTTAATTCATTACCCCCATAGTGCATGCATGAAATTAAGTTTTCTCCCAGAGAAGATTACAATTTTGTTGCTGCGTCACAGAGCAAAAAAAAGAAAGAGAAACGGTTATGTCATTTTCTTTTATAGTCCTTAAACTGTGCACTTAACAATTGTCTTGACAGACAAGGTGGAGATAGTACTTACAGGCCTATCAAACTTTCCTAGTTTTCATTTGTGCATACATTTCAATTTGTTAAATATAAATTTATCAGGATCCATCACCATTGTCAAAATTATATTACACCCCCAACACCCATAGAAATTATAAAATATTAAATATTCAGCTAGAAACATAGTCTTTGAACTTGTGAAGAAGTTCCACAGGCCAAACCCTGTCAAACACCTTCAATATATCTAATGCCACAGCCTCACTGTTGTTATCTAATGCCTGATAGACAAATTCGGTAATAACAGTTATAACATCAGCTGTTGACATAGAGAAACAAAAGCCATATTGTTTATCTGAAAGAAGACAATGTAAAGTGAGATGCTTAACCAATTTGGAATGATTAGAGCCTTTACAAAAGAGTTGTCAAAGATTCTGATGTAATGGAATAACATGTCACCCCCATGAGTGACTACATTATAGGTAGTAGCTACCTATAAGTATCTGTAATCAATGGACTACAGAGTCTAACCAAAATCTTTTTTACTAGACAGTCGAACTCTCTGCCTCTGAGCAGAGAGGAACCTGGACAAGGCTCAGCTGAAGGGCAGTCTAGTTTGGGGAGGCTGACCAACCTGGTCCAGTTATGTGGGTTCTACAGGCATTCTTTGGCCGAGCCTATGGGCTTGGAGAAACCGCATTAAACCTGGGCCTTCTGCCACATGCAACCCTCATTTGGCTAAATATTCTAACTGGAATCTTTTCAGATGTACTGTCAAACTCTCTGCCTTTGATCAGAGAGGTACCTGGATGAGGCTCAGCCGAAGGGCAGTCTCGCTTAGGGAGGTAGACAGACCCAATCCCATTTATGCGAGGTCTATGGGGATTAACATTAAATTTGGCCTTGTGCCACATGTTACTGCATGGGGCAGTTGCTAGATACTCTAGTGGAATCTTTTCCAACTGTGCTGGTCAAACTCTCTGCCTCTGAGCAGAGAGGATCCCCAGACGAGGCTATGCCAAAGGGCAGAGTCTTGTCTCAGGAAACAGCTACCCAACCCTGTTTTACACAGGGTCAATGAGAATTTTTGGCTGAGCCTATGGACTTGGATTCCCCACATTAAACCCAGCCTTGTGCCACATCTGATCATGTGGAGAGGTTAGTAAATACACTAGCTGGGATCTGTTGAATACAACTCAGATTTACGTGAGAACTACTGACCTATAGTAGCATTCAATACTGGATTGACTTGTGATGACCTTGTGCGTAACTGTTACTTTTATTCTTATTGTATTGGTTTTTACAATAAACCTTTACTTATTTTATCCATCGTGTCTTTCAAGTTTACATTCCTATTAGCATAGAATATAACAGATTCGTAAAACAAGAATCTGAGGGATCAGTAGGTTCACCAGAGTTCCTAAAGAGAAACAACAAAAGAGGATTTACATTAAGCTGGAAATCAAGAAGCTGAAAGACATTTGTAGTGTTTTGAGAGAACAGGATCCACTCCAGGAGTACATTTCTTTATGTACATATCACTCAGTTGAGATTCCATTCTAGGGAAAAAAAATCAGGCAAAGATATTCCTAAAGAGTCTAGATTGGAGTTGGAAGATAATTTATAAGCAAAGCATTCTGCTTTATTAATAGCAAATGACAAACTGATTGAAGTGAATATGGATTGGGGATTTTCTCTTCTTCAACACACTGTTACAGAGCCACCAGTCATCTCTAGAACCAAACTTATAAGAGGCTATACTGTGTCACATTCTATCAGTGAATAATAAATTTGCTTTATTGAGGATACATTATGTACACATTTTGGTTGGCTGTAGATATCTATATTGTCTGTATAGAATTCTGTTATTCAAATGCCTGTGAAGAATTGCAAATATTTTAACTAAAAATAAATAATATTTTTCCTTCTTTAAAAAAAAGAACAAAGGAAAAAGTTATATGAATGAAAATATTGATTTCTTTACCAGCATTTATCCCCAAATCTCCTCTATTTGAAAATAAAAAAATAAAAAAATTCTTGTTACTCAAGTTAATCTCCATTTAAAAGATAGCCACCTAAGCTGAAAGGCAGCAGTGTTGGCGAGGTTACTCCAATTACAAGACCTAATATAATTTACCCATCATCAATGAGATTTCACCATAATTTCATTATTAACTTATAAAGTCTTTCAATTCCCTTACTACCTGATTCACATTTTGTTGATGCCCCAAGCATATCTGAGATGTGGGTCATGAAGGATGGGTAATGTCCATAACTATGGATGGTTGCAGCCCGGCTATCAGACCAAGCCAGCAAAATGTCTAATAATTTTATTTCTGTTCCTAAATTACTTGAAATAGGAATGCTTGCTCAGTGAACCATTAAGACAGTCTCTGTTCTTTTATTGGAGATCTGAACAGTCTTTAAATTCACTCTTGTATGTGTATATTTATGCATGTATGTGTATGAATGTGTTGAAATATCACAAATGTTTAAGCACAAGAGAGAATAATTGAATGCGGTTGCATAAGTAGAAGTTAATACCAATATCTGTTTGTAATAACTCATTTCCCTTTTATTTCATTTTCTTTTTTAGTCTTTTATCAATTATTTATTTTTATGTTTGTTATCTATGCTATCCTTTGATTTCCTCATCAATTTCTCTTTCTTTTTAATTCATTTCTTTCTTTTTTGCTTAGCATTATAATCTTCTCCAATTTCCATTTTATTTTCTATTTCTTTTATTACTGAATCCTTCGTCTTTATCAGTATTTCCTTCATTCCTATTAAATATTTTTCATCATTTTTTTTTTCTACTCGCAGAAATTGTTTACTTCTCTCTTTTTTATGTCTTATTCATTCTTTCATCTTTCTTTCCTGCTTCCTACTCATTTAATCTTTCATCTTTCTTTCCTTTTTTCTACTCATTTAATCTTTCATCTTTCTTTCCTTTTTTCTACTCATTTAATCTTTCATCTTTCTTTCCTTTTTTCTACTCATTTAATCTTTCATCTTTCTTTCCTTTTTCCTACTCATTTAATCTTTCATCTTTCTTTCCTTTTTTCCTAATCATTTAATCTTTCATCTTTCTTTCCTTTTTTTCTCATTTAATCTTTTCATCTTTCTTTCCTTTTTTCTACTCATTTAATCTTTCATCTTTCTTTCCTTTTTCTTACTCATTTAATCTTTCATCTTTCTTTCCTTTTTTCTTACTCATTTAATCTTTCATCTTTCTTTCCTTTTTTTTTACTCATTTAATCTTTCATCTTTCTTTCCTTTTTTCTTTCATTTAATCTTTCATCTTTCTTTCCTTTTTTCTACTCATTTAATCTTTCATCTTTTCTTTCCTTTTTTTACTCATTTAATCTTTCATCTTTCTTTCCTTTTTTTACTCATTTAATCTTTCATCTTTCTTTCCTTTTTTTACTCATTTAATCTTTCATCTTTCTTTCCTTTTTTCCTACTCATTTAATCTTTCATCTTTCTTTCCTTCTTCCTACTATTTTCTTTCTTTGTTTTTTTTCCTACTCATTTAATCTTTTCATCTTTCTTTTCCTTTTTCTACTCATTTAATCTTTCATCTTTCTTTCTTTTTTTCTCATTTAATCTTTCATCTTTCTTTCCTTTTTTTCCTACTCATTTAATCTTTTTCATCTTTCTTTTCCTTTTTCCTACTCATTTAATCTTTCATCTTTCTTTCCTTCTTCCTACTCATTTAATCTTTCATCTTTCTTTCCTTTTTCCTACTCATTTAATCTTTCATCTTTCTTTCCTTCTTCCTACTCATTTAATCTTTCATCTTTCTTTCCTTTTTTCTACTCATTTAATCTTTCATCTTTCTTTCCTTTTTTCTACTCATTTAATCTTTCATCTTTCTTTCCTTTTTTCTACTCATTTAATCTTTCATCTTTCTTTCCTTTTTTCTACTCATTTAATCTTTCATCTTTCTTTCCTTTTTTCTACTCATTTAATCTTTCATCTTTCTTTCCTTCTTCCTACTCATTTAATCTTTCATCTTTTCCTTCTTCCTACTCATTTAATCTTTCATCTTTCTTTCCTTTTTTCTACTCATTTAATCTTTCATCTTTCTTTCCTTCTTCCTACTCATTTAATCTTTCTTTCCTTCTTCCTACTCATTTAATCTTTCTTTCCTTCTTCCTACTCATTTAATCTTTCTTTCCTTTTTCCTACTCATTTAATCTTTCTTTCCTTCTTCCTACTCATTTAATCTTTCTTTCCTTTTTCCTACTCATTTAATCTTTCTTTCCTTTTTCCTACTCATTTAATCTTTCATCTTTCTTTCCTTTTTTCTACTCATTTAATCTTTCATCTTTCTTTCCTTTTTTCTACTCATTTAATCTTTCATCTTTCTTTCCTTTTTCTACTCATTTAATCTTTCTTTCTTCTTTTCTTTCCTTTTTTTCTACTTCATTTAATCTTTCTTTCATCTTTCTTTCCTTTTTCCTACTCATTTAATCTCATTTCATCTTTCTTTCCTTTTTTTTTCTACTCATTTAATCTTTTTCATCATTTTTTTTTTCCTTTTTCCTACTCATTTAATCTTTCATCTTTCTTTCCTTTTTTCTACTCATTTAATCTTTCATCTTTCTTTACTTACTCAGCCATTCTTTCTACATTTCTTTTTATAATATATCTTAGTTTTTTTTTTTTTGTTCAATATTTCTTTTCTTTCTTGGCAAATTTTTTTATTTTTCATCTTTCTCTCTTTTTCTCTCTCTCTCTCCTTTCCTTGTTTTCTCCTCTCTCCCTCTCCTTGTCGGTCTCCTCTCTCCCTCTCCTTTCCTTTCTACATTTTCTTTTTCCCTCTCCTTGTTTTTTCGGTCTCCTCTCTCTCCCTTTCCTTGTCGGTCAAATTTTTTCTTTCCCTCTCCTTGTCGGTCTCTCTCTCTCCCCTCTCCTTGTCGGTCCTCTCTCCTCTCCCCCTCCTTGTCGGTCTCCTCTCTCCCCTCTCCTTGTCGGTCTCCTCTCTCCCTCTCCTTGTCGGTCTCCTCTCTCTCCCTCTCCTTGTCGGTCTCCTCTCTCTCCCTCTCCTTGTCGGTCTCCCTCTCTCCCTCTCCTTGTCGGTCTCTCTCTCCCCTCTCCTTGTCGGTCTCCTCTCTCCCTCTCCTTGTCGGTCTCCTCTCTCCCTCTCCTTGTCGGTCTCCTCTCTCCCTCTCCCTGTCGGTCTCCTCTCTCCCTCTCCTTGTCGGTCTCTCCTCTCTCCCTCTCCTTGTCGGTCTCCTCTCTCTCTCTCCCCTCTCCTTGTCGGTCTCCTCTCTCTCTCTCCCTCTCCTTGTCGGTCTCCTCCCTCTCTCTGACCTTTCTTCAATGTTTAATTTTTCTTTCTTATTCAGTCTTTCTTTACCTGTTAAATTTTTTGCATTTATTATTCTTTGTTTTTTTAATAATTCAGCCTATTTCAATTTTATAAGCCTATTTTTCATGAATTTGAATGTTTCATGTAACTGATATCAGCAGAGAAAATGGAATCAACAATTTAAATTCCATCTGAAACTTTTTGGGCACTTTACATTAATTCCTTTAAGAAAGGCATGTATCCACCACTGTCTACTTTGTCTTTGTACCCAAGATCTGAGAAAATGTCTTGTTACTTGTACACCACAACAGTTGTGTTAAAAATATAATGAATATTTGTTCAACCTCCTCTCCCTTATTAACTTCCCTACCCATGCAATAGAAACAAAGAGCAATTGTCTCCATTGTTAACCTTAACATGAACCAGTCAGATATTTAGGGGAATGGAGATCATACTCTGGTGTATAAATTTGGCATTAATTATGGCTTAGTTTAACAAAGTTTATGGAGTGTTTTCCACATCTGTTACGAACATTCAGTTGGCTAGCAAGACCTATGCAGGAGAGGCAGATGGTATTACCATGTTTACAGAAGAATGTCTAGCAGTGGTAGGAAGCTTCCATCATTTAGAGCCACCTCTTGTTCTGCAGTTTTCCTAGAAGATATCTTTTTAACATGTCTCTTTGTTAGCTTTTTCTGTTGCCCACTCACAGTAGAAGAATATATTTTTAAAGGAATATGTAGTGATAGAAAAATATTAACAAGGAGACAAAAAATAAACAAATAATAATGTGACCAAAATTTTACCATTTATAAAAATTGACATATATTCAGAACCGCTTGGACACCATGCCATATTTTGACCAGCCAATAAAAAAGCTTTCACAAACAGGATAAAATTTTTTGAGCCAATAAGAATTAAAATAGCACTTTCACAGTGGATCCCTAGAAATGAATATAACATAATGAAATATAAACCTAAACCAGAATCGTTAAATTAATTTTGTCCACTCTTTGATGCTGCAGTCATCGTAACATACCCAGAGTTGGAATACAAAATTTTGTACAATGAGCTGGTGACTTTAGAAGGCTGCACTATCTTGCTATATGTTTGTAAACATATATAGCTTCCTTCACCCAGATTCTTAAGCAAGCAACTACTAAATTTGGATACATAAATATACATATTTACTTCCTACCTGACACTTTATCTCTCTCTTGTATGCACCAGGACTTTTACACGTGATCTCTTGAAACTTCAACATTTATTTTATCCTTCTGTATTATTGTGTTATATAAAGATATATTTTGTATTTTTCAACAGTTTGTGCATTTTCTTTTAATCATAAAAAAGGACTATATATGCCCAAACCAAATATAGTGACGTATGGTGGTAACATTGTCATAACATAACCTTTCACAAATCTTCCATACATTTTTTTCTGTTCCTTCAGTGCCAACCAGGGACCAATTTATATGCAACACCTACTGGCTATTGATAGAACTGCTATAAGCATGGAAACCCCTCATAAACCTTCATGAAACTAAACCCTGAAATATAAGTTCACTTAAATACCAACAAAAGGTCTTTTTAAGGGATTTTTGGTTAATTTTTTTTTTTCTTCAAACTATTTTCTTAGTGTTGATTCCAATCTTGATAGGAATGACTGTAAAACACATGCCCCTCCCCAATTTATAGACAGAATGCACAAAAAAAGCATGTTTTGTTTTTTTTGCCTAGCCAAATATGAATAGGCCAGATCTTGGTTTCATCGGACACAGTTATGGTCTGTCTTGTCTTGAAGTCAAAATGCTACATTCACTTGTCAGAACTTGCTTTTGTACGTCAATTCTTAGTGTTACAGCCAATTACTGAAGCACAAAGTTTAAAAAGGAAAGATTAAAAAATGCCCAGGTTTACTACTTCACAGTGAAAGATTCCATGCAGAGTCAAATACATGCTTTTAGGACAGTAACCAACCGTGACCAAATCCAAAGACTAATATACAAATTAACAATAATAATTACAACTAGACAATACATAAAAACATTTAGGTATGAGAATTGGTGAAAAGATGTGTGCTATACATTTCTTTGTCTAAAGATGCATGCATTATTTTATTAGGGCAATATTTGAAACAGGAACTTAGTTTCTGTTCTTCTTTTGAAGTAAAACAAAGTTTTCCTTTTTCTCTCTCTTTCTCTTATAAATCTTTGTCCCTTTTAATTTGAAACCAGTTCATTCACTCAAGTAATGGTGTCCTTTGATCTATTCTTCTTATTTCAACATTGCATTTATTATTTGGTCATTTAGTCTCAAATTTGGTTATGAAAATTCGATGCTGCATAAGCCATAGGTTTCGCCGTGCAGGATTCATAGTTTGGATCTTCATCCAATTAAGTATGTCAAATACGTGTTTCTTAGATGGCAGTCATGTTTTGCCATTTACCTATGCCTTTAATGTCAGCTGCATAGAGAAGCTAAATTGGAGTCCGTCTCTTGTCGTGCGATCTCTTTTGCTTGACTGTAATAAGTGAAAGAGGAATTGTCTACAAGACTCTTCTCTGCTAAATTCTGTGTTGAAGTTTCATGTGAGTTGCCATTGTCATTACTTCTCTTCAATTTGTAAAGTCAATTCACATGAGAAATTAATATATACTCAGTTTCCTCCAAGATTCATCACCCAACTGAGTTCTGTTGATCTGCTCAATCATTTCTATCTCGTCCCATGATTTGTGACATGTATGAGAATCTGTTTTTAGCTTTGGCTTCCATCTGTTGCTGTGGTTGTCAGTCTGACCTAATTGTCTTTGTGTTCAGTGACTGCTATTCTATATGAAAAGAGAGACAGAAGAGTTCACATATGATATTATTAGAGAGAAGAGAAAGAGATGGGTCACTAAGTGTAATATTTTGTGTGGGTATGGGTGGTGCATGTGGAAAGCTGTAACATTGTGAACTTTTTGCCATGTTGCTTTGCCTTTGTTACTGTTAATTTGCCTTGCATATATTTGCTTGCTTTATATTATTTTTTCACCCTGTTCTTTTTTTCTTCTTATTGCATATTGCAAACATTGTCAGTTCTATTGTTGGGCAGTTCTGCTATTTATTTTTGCATTTAAACATGGCTACCCAGTCTCTACCTGGCTTTGGTGAAAAGTCTGCATACATTTGACTTTTAATAGGTGGTTATCAAAGAGTTTTTGTTAATAAGTTTGCGATTATATTAATGTATTTATTGTTTTTTAGTATGTTATCATACATTTTTTGTGACAACACAGATTTATCCCAGTGGCTATCCATGAATAGTTAAAAGCAAAGCTGAAATTAATTAAAATCCAATTTAATTTTAAGTTTAATTGTAACTTTCAGCCCTTTCACATGAATTTTGTTTTGTCTAGTTAATGTATGTTTTATTCATATGAAATAAATTTTTTTGATGATGATGCTTGTTTTAGTGGGGAAATGTGTCAAAGAAGAAATTTTCAAAGATGTCGTCTATATTCACTGTGTTTGTGTGCATGCACAAGAAATAATATTTCATACATCAAGATTGGTATGAAACAGACATCAGAGATACACGCCTACCCAAAGTCCAATCAAATAATTAGATATTGGCCTAATTAATTTTCAATATCTGGAACTACAGGTGAGAAAAAACAATATTAATTTTTCTTTCACCCTCACCACCAAATGTCTGGATAATTTTTTAGAACTGAAATCGCAAATTCAACCATTAAAATAAGAATAATGGGCGGTTTTATATTTGGAAAAAAAAATCAATATCTTAACAAAGAGCAAATGAATGTTTGAAGTTAACCAATTTTTATTTTTCTTGGCAGTGGGGGGAATGAAGCAGATTCTATCATTTTACAAAAGGCAAAAACAAGGGTTCTGGGAAATTTCAAACAGTCTTAAATAAAAAAAATAAAAAAATTTAAATGATTCTGTTAATATTAAACTGATTACCTTCAAAAGAGTTTTGCATTTTACAAAGAACTACACTCAATGACTAGACTGAAATAATATTTTACATTTTGTTTTAGTCAGAATTGGGAAACTTGGGAAGTATATCACAAAATAAGTGGCTTTATTTAGAAAATTCTCCATGCCTGTAAGGTAATTCTGACAAGCCTTCCACATGTGTCTCTCTCTCTATATGGCAGATCAGACTTGAATCCTTTCTGCTGCTGTCATGTAGCTATTTTTGATCCGTCTGTCAGTGGAATGTTCCATGCATTCTGCTTCATCGTAGTTCAACTGAGTCAGTGTGGATCAGTTCACCTTTAATCAGGAAATGGCACGGCAAGTAAACATGGCAGCCATGTCAAGTTGCAAGACAGGATTGATTCTGATCGGAATTTAGCTCCAGTGAATTTGTCATGGTCTTTGGCAATATTTTAGCTATTCACACATGCACTCATCTCATAATGTATACATATATGTGCATGCATCTGTGTGTGTTTGCATGTAAATATATATATATATATATATATATATATATATGTGTGTGTGTATGTTTTGTGCAAATATATATCTGTGTAATATATAATATATATATATATATATAAAATAGTAAAATATATATATATATATATATATATATAAAATAGTAAATGATATATATATATATATATATATATATATATATATATATATATATATAAAATATATATATATATATATATATATATATATATATATATATATATATATATATATATATATATATATAAATATAAAAATATATATATATATATATATATATATATATATATAAAATATAAAAAATATATATATATATATATATATATATATATATAAATATATAAATGATATATATATATATATATATATATATATATATATATATAGTAAAATGATAAAATATATATATATATATATATATATAAAATAGTAAAATGATATATATATATATATATATATATATATATATATAAATAGTAAAATATATATATATATATATATATAAAATAGTAAAATGATATATATATATATATATATATATAAATATATATATATATATATA